ATTATTTTCATAAATCAACTGAGTATCTAAGAGATTAGTTGCATTGTCCTTAGTCTACACTCTCATACAGCGTGAGCAAGGAGAAAACCATGATGACAGCCCCCTTCCACAAAATCTCATCAGTAGGAGATTTGCTTCCCCTATCTCCTTTGCTAACTCCTCCCACTCCTTATTAAATGACCTGCAGTGAGTTTTAACAGAATGGCATAACCACCCCATTGTTTCCTATGGCAAGACTACATTTTCTCAGCCTACAATTTTCTGAGTTTTCTAATGACCAATTTCTTTTTGTTTCCTCAAGTGCTAAGAACAGCTCTGCAAATTAACATTTTACCTTTTATCCACCAAGTTTATATAATGAAGTAAAATGGCATTTCGCATAACGCATTTGCCAAAATATGAACATGTGGACAAGAGACGCACTAAGTGTTCTGGTGATACAACACCCTGGTCTGTGCCAGCTGCAATAATCACTTAAGTGTAATCAACCTAGTAGAAATGCACAAACACCAGAAAAAGCTGAACTTGATTTCTATCCTTTATACTTCATCTCCAAGAGTAAGAGATCTCTTGAACACATAATAGAGAAAAGAAAAGTAATAGCATAAAGTTCATTCCATTATCATCCTGATGTTCAAGAATCTAAATTTATTGGCTCTGAAGGAACTGAATTTCAAATCCCTCCAAAACTCTTCAGCAGTATACTGCCTATGACATGCAGGTTAAAAAAAGGTGTGTTATCCCTAATGCACAAACTGTCATTATTGTCTTTATATATGATTCCATGTCTTAGTCAAAGTTGTTGTTTCTTCAGGGATGATAAAAGCTGTTCCAAAGTTTCTCACAACCAACTGCACTTGTATGGGTATTGTGGTTTCGGGTTTTTTTTTACCCCAGAAGTCTGCATTTACACTCCAAAGGTGTGTATTGTGGAGCTTCCATGGATTCATATAAATCCACGCACAGTTATGCAAGATTAGCAGCACCTATTTGTACATAAATAACGACTTTTTGTATATGAAATACCTTTTCTTGTGTTTGCCGCTTTGAAACCTGCTGCTTACCAGCTAAAACACAGAGTAATTTTGGAATAGCCCTTGTTCAAAAAATGAAGGAAGAATCGGTCTTAAGTATTGATTTAAATGAAAAGATAATTGTATGACACTGATTGTTTACAACTGATATTAGAGGAAATTGGAATTTTTACCAAAACATGTATGCCCACAGTAATTAACAGATTTTCTCAGCGAAGATTTATGTCAAGGAGCACTTAGTGCCCACATCAGCCTATGTGAATCGGATTAGAAGACCAATCAAAGACAGAAATTGGATTTAATACTGTCAAAACACAGAAAGTAAACGTAGGATGCGAGATCCCACTGGTGATATGCTGCATACTGGATCATGGAACCACCATCTTTCATCAGAGTGGGAATGAAAACTGGGACGCACGCAGCATAAAATTTCTGATGCTTTATGCAACAATTAATACAGGAGATATCCCAACTACCAGGCTGTTGTTACACTGATCACCTAAAACTTACTGCAGTATTTGTAACTGTTCAAGAAGTGTAATAAATGAGCAGACTATATATCATTACCCAAGGCAAAACCTGTAAATCTTTTAAAGTGCAACTGTCCTAAATACACTGGCTGGGATTCACTGCACTTAACAAGCATTTAAATGTTATACACTTACTCAAAGTTATATAGCTATCGTCTTTCTCTAGTCAATGAACAAGAGACTACTTTCTAAGTAAGCTTGTTCACCCACCTATGTTAGATACCTGTCCACAGATGGATGAGTTGATGACTAACTGCTCTTACTACTCTGTTTCGAAAACAAATGTGAAGTACCAGGTTCGAATCCAAAAACTGGAATAACTTCTCCACTTTCTGACACTGAGTAGCTAAGTATTACAATAACAGAAATCAACTTCTCTGATAATATTCTCATGCTCAAAGCACAGAAATACTGACTACTGTACACACAAACAGACAAATTTCATTGTGTTTATAAAAAGATAAATCTATGCTAAAAAAAGGAATATGAACATTCCAAAATAAGAAAGTTCTGCTATCGTATATTATCTGCTAAAACAATATTCAGTACAATTCTAACAAGCAAATGCCTAACTGAGATGCTTGGCTTTGACATTGTCACTGGGACTCTTACTGCATTTCTTGCTGATGGTCTAATACCAAACAGATGATTCACTCTGGAAGCTCGTCTAGAATGAATACTCTGCCCCTTCCCAACTGAATGCTTTGATCACTAAACTGCACTCAATGTTTTGCCTCTTTCCCTAGTACTACGCTCCATTGCCCCTGGCTACATGCCAGCTTCAAGATGTCAGGCAACGCAATTGCTCAGCATATTCCTGGTGTTGTGGCTAGTACACTTTCCTAGGAATCAGGAGATGCAGGTTTAATCTACTCGGAGATTAACAGAGCCACTGACTTTATAGGTGAGTGCAGTAATTATGACTCCCCAAGAACACTTCTCTAGGGGAGAAACATTCAGACTTCCTGGGTGAACCGTCTCAGGAAGCTACAAGTAAGTGGATGCTCGTGGCAGTAAAATATATTTTTAAAAAGAAAAATCCTGGGATTACGTAATCTGTGTAGGTAATGTAAAATTTGAAATTTCTCTTCACTGTTTGCCATATTCCTTACTTATTTTCCTTCTGTCATGCTTTCCCTATTTTCTTTTCTCATTTTCTTAAGTAACGCTCTTTAACAAACACGAGGGACCCTGGTCAATGTGCTCATGGAGGCAAGGAAGAGGCCTCTCTTCTTCCTTGGTCCCCTGCCTCCTGCACAAGCCTCTGCCTTCCTTGACTTTTCCTTGCAGATTGCGTTCATTCCCTTTTTCATATTCTCAGCTCCCTCAGCAAGAAAAAAGCAAAAATTTCACAAGTGAGCAGGTATCTAGTCATAGCCTGTATCTTTTGGATGACAGTTCATGGTCTCACAGAAGCCCAGTAATCTTGCAGTAAATTTGCTGAAAGGGATGAATGAGCATAAGCTCTTTCTCCAGAGGTATCTCAGTGCATTCTGTTGCTTCCACATATCAAGAACTGAGCAACACGTAGTCATAAGTTTCAAAAGAGTCACCACGTCAAGTCCCGAAACTGCCTGTTTTGACAAACGACATATCATAGAAACGAGAGAGAAGGCTGAATCTTGAGTTAGGTGTAAACTCAAGTTATTTGCCTTTTTTATAGGCAAGAATTCCTACAACATGCAGTATTTTAGCTATAAACACAGCTATAAATGTAGCCATATCTACATAATCATATGCACACGCATCTCAGTTTATCCAGCGGAATGGCAGACAGTACATAGAATATGTAAACAGATCTGCCAAACACTTAAAGAACAACTTTAATAGCAAGTGTCATTCTTTTCTGTAAAGTAGCTGTTTTTAACACACATGATCTAACTCTTGTTTGCTCTTTAAAGTTTTATTGTCTTGGCATTTTATACAGGAAGAGAGCATTAGCATACTCAGGAGAACTGCTAAAAGTAAAAGGCCTCAAGCTACCCACTGCATGGTTGATAGCATAAAGCATGGGATATAAAAACTTTTGTCTGATTGCTCACTTTACTTCTTTTAGAGTAGTGTTACTCTCAAGAGCATATATTCATGTTCTTTCTACTTCAAGTTTTATTACTTCTTTTGTATTATTTAATACATCTAAAGACACTTCCAAAAGACAAATTTTTCCATTTTGAAAAAGTAATGGTTTGGAACCTGATAAAATACATGAATGTTCACAGTGTATTATTTTCAAAGGCAAGTAGAATAAATGTGCAATAAAACAATTAAATGTGTGACGATAAACGTTTCTATGTGTTCATAGATACAGTAACACTCCAAACAAAAGAAGAAAAATTTGGCAAAATATTTCCCCTAAAAAAGGTCAGATCAAAATGGATTCTCCATACACCAGAGTGTAAGTAAAAAGGGAGTTTGGTCTCAATTACTGTTACTGATAAATATCCCACTCTAGAAATTAAAATGAACATTAAAAATGTGAAAGAGAAAATGGAATGAAAAAGTCAAATCAGATCAGCTATTTTAAACGCAGAAGAAAAAAAAAAGAGACTATAATTGTACATACACATTAAAAATCATTCTCCAGTAAACTTAATTTAAGTCTACTTAGATATCACACTGCTAATTATTATATAAATAACCTGGGAAACAATACCTCCAAGATACATGTTTTACTATTTAGTAAACAAGAAACTGCCACGTTTGACACCACTGATTAAGGCCAGGCATTTCTAAAGCTTCAGACACATTTCTGAAATCCACAATACATCAATTTTTAATACTTCCACTCTCTCAGCTCCATTAAAAAGATGGTAGGGGAAAGATTTTAGAGTAATTAATGATATAGTTAGCTGCTAAATATTAATAGGAATCGTAGTCTTGCATAAAATATAACATATAAACCTTGCCAATACAGACGCACCAGTAATTAAACTTGAATATGTAATTACACTGATTTATACGACAGGCAAAAAGTTACACTTTACTGGCTTCTATGTAAACTGTGGGCAACAGTTAAACTTTGCATTTTACGGTTTATATAAATGGGCAATATCTCCACTACAGTTCATAAATGGTTTAGAGACTCATAGTTAACGTTACAAGCAATTCCAACATGAACATTCTGACTACACCTTACAAACCAGGTTGTGAAAATGACCACAGAGATCAGCCTCCCATTTCATTCAATGTTCGCAGGCAAGTTGAAGAGGTTTTTAACAAAAAAAAAAAAGCTTACACCAATCTTACTACAAAGCAAATAAAGGCTCGCCTATTTAAATGTTTGAATATAAATGTTTAGTTTCAAGCATATAGGTCCAGATGTTTCACTTACCATGTTTCAAAGGACTTCTGCGTAACATTGTATCTTACACTAAGGCTTTTTAGTACATTTTTTTCTTAGACTTAGACTCTTTTCTTAAAAGGAGGCTAACTGCACTTACATGTGAGGCTGAGGAGAGCAGCCCGGACTGCTGTTTCCATTACTGTCAATGTGATCCAGTGAACCATTGAGATCTTCATGGACTGCCTGCAGTAAGCCACTGGATGCGTTATTTATCAATCCTGGGTTACTAAGCAATGGTAAACTACTCTCTGCCAGTGCAGCCTAGCAAAATGAAGAGTAAAAATAAAGTTATTAGTCTATATATATACAAAACACTTCTAAATGTTCACACACGTATGAACGTGCACACACAAAGCAGCTCGTTTTGGGTAGTCGTAGAGGTGGTCAGAAGGATTTTGTGCATTTTTCAATTACCTTCACATTCTGAATGTAATAGTGTTTACTATTTCTCTTACATAAGTTTCATTATTTTCCTTTAATAACTATGTTCCGATATTCATAGCACTTCCTAGTTTTACATCATTTTTTGACTTTGAATTACACTTAACCCCTATGCCCTTCCACACAATGTATGGCTCCTTTATAATGCAGGCAGCTGCTATACTTTAAAAAATGACCAGAACTTAACTCAAAATAAAAAAAGTCCTGACATTTGCCTCTTCTGCATAAAAATTATACATTATAATTAAACTTTAAAGTTTTTGCCATGAGCACCATGTTCCCCAACACTATGATGTGAAATCATTTATGACAGCTTGGATAAATATTAATGCATATCCACATGCATTTGCAAAAGCTTCTATCAATCTAACATTTGCCAGCAAAACTGAGTGTTCCAGATTTTGCCACAGGGTGTCCTTCTTGCTTCTTCACATCAAAAGTAGCATGAATAAGAACTAGCACTTCTCGCAGTGCTAGGTAATACAACTTACTTGGATGATAAACCCAACTATTTAGAATGACCATCAGGTCCACATAAACATAAATATAGGTCACTCTATACCAAAGTAGAACAGGAAATTAAATATGTCACAGATAAGAACATAATTAATGTGTGCAAAGAAAGAAGAATTTAGTATTTTTTTACCTGCAAGCTTGCATTAAGAGCTGCTCCATAGCCTAAGCTGGTGGGTATGTTTTTCACTAACGTTGGGCTTCTGAAAATAAACGATTTTTCAAAGTTTAAAAAACAGGCAGACATCCTGGCTGGATCACTGGGTTAATGGATTGGTTTTTCA